ACCACTGGGTACACTGGCTCTTGGATCTAAGGAGGTGCTAATTTAGCCTCTGCCTGAAGCTACCCAGCAGGAGCTACGAAGAGATCTGCAGAATCCCCTTCCTTGTTTGGGGTTTGGAGGTGCCCAAATGAGGCCCAACTGTGAAGCGATGCAAGCTGCTGTGGGGCCTTGGGCCTTCTCTTGGAAGTTCTGGGTCTGTCTGGCCCAGCTGCAGTTTGTTAGGTAATTTTCAGATTGCAAAGGGCCAGGGCATTCATATGCAAAAGCCTCTGCGCACAGCTTGGGTGGGGTGGGGTCTCAGGGGATCAGCAGCCCGGAGCAAGCAGATATGGCTGATCCTCAGTCCTGCCCTAAGAGGCCCCGTGTTTCAGTGTCCCGGTAATCCCTGCAAGCACCTTTGAGAGAAAGCCACCCTCGAGTTCCGAGTTCTGCCCGCTGCCAGACAGTCCAGTTTCTCCCCGTATGAGTCTAGGTCCCCAGAGACTCACCCAGAACTGGAGTTCAGAGCAGTCGGGGGGGGGGGGGGGGCGAGGAACTTGTGACTCCCTCCCGATTCAAAAAGACAGCCGCGTCCTCAGTTGCAAGCCCTTGCTGCATGCGCCTCCGTACCTCTACACTTCCGCACCTCCTCTGAGTCTCAGTGTGCTTTTCTCTTTCCTTCTAGTTGTAGAATTTCCACTCAGCCAGTATTCCTGTGGTTCTGGATGATGTCCGTTTTGTCTTTTAGTTGTATTTTTTAATTTGTTGTGGGAGGCAGCAATTTCCGGTGTTTACCTATGCCGCCATCTTGGTTTCTCCAAAATACTTTCCAAAAGTGATGATGGGTTGACATTTGAGCAATGTTTTAAAGCAGGAGTGGGTAACATCTGTCCTGCAGGCCATATAAGGGCCACAAATCATTTTGGTCTGGCTCTGCCAAGGCAACTCCAGGTAGGACTCAAAATTCAATAAATCTGGGAGCTTTTTTCACAGTAACATAAATTTATATTAAGTCAATTATACTAAGAGAAGGATGTTATAAATATTCAAATGGCCCTTGGCAGAAAAAAGGTTCCCCACCCCTGTAGGAAGACAGATCAGTTCAACCCACCCTCTTGACCAAAACTTTGCTTTGGTGTAGATTGTACCTCTTTAGGGCAGTAACTTCTAATAACCATGGAGGGTGATATTAGCATTAAGATTAGAGAAGCTTGAAGGGAAAAAAGAAACATTTACAGAGGAAAATCAGTTTCCTCCCCACCTCATACCACTGCAAAGAAAATTCTGGTAGTGTAATTTTATTATGAGAATAGAAAAAATAAGGATTATGAAGCTTAAAAGTAATTATTTATGAAAAGGAATATATATAACGCTAAACAGTCTTTCCTTCTCTCTTTGATAAATATAAAGATGGAATGTTTTGTTATAAAGTTATAAAGTCTTTACACCTGAATAAAATTATTTCTTACCTAATGGTCCAGATGTTTTTGAACAATTATAGAAAGTGGACCCGAAAGACCTGGAATAATTGTATGGTCAGGAAACTATACCGCAGATAGTTCTTATTTTTCATAGTGATTTAAAATAAACATACTGTTATTTACCTATTATGACTGATGCTGAAAGGGTACTCTGTCCCACTTCTAGTTTTTAAAACACTTTTGTTGAGGTATATTTTACATAGAATAAAATCCACCCACTGTAAGGGTAAAATTCCATGATTCTTAGTACATTTATAGAGTTGTGCAACCACCACCATAATCCAGTTTTAGAATATCTAAAGATTCCTTTGTGCTCATTTACGGTACAGTGGGGCCTTGACTTACGAGTGTCCCGACTAACGAGTTTTTCGAGATACGAGCCGTCTCTCAGCCGATTTTTTGCTTTGAGTTGCGAGCTAAAATTCGGGTTATGAGCCAGCTTCAGATACCCCACCACTAGTTGGCGCAGCGAACGTCACAGTGAACACCACAACATCAGCCCAGCATCACGTGTCTCACTCGTTCACTGTTGATTTGACATATGAGTAATTTGAGTTATGAGCTCCATCACGGAACGAATTAAACTCGTAAGTCAAGGCCCCACTGTATATCTTTGATCTTGGCCCTATACCTAGGAAATCACTAATCTATTTTCTATCTTTGTACAATTTGCCTTTTCTGGACATAAATGGAATCATAAAATATGTAGTCTTTTTTGTCTGGTTTATTTTACTTAGCATAATATTTTTGAGGTTCATCCATATTGTAGCATATTTTCTGCTCCCAGGAAATTTTAGAATCAGTTTGTCAAGCAAATTTAAAAATAAGAAAAAAAAATTCCTGTCAAGCAGGTGGAATGGCCTTTGCTCAACATGGCCTTTAATCCCCCTTACTAGTTTCTTCCTTAGGATTCCTCCATCTTTTAAAGCATTTTTTGAGGAATTATTTTATATTCAGAACATTTCTGAATGTAACAAAACCACATGGAAGTACAAAAAGTACTTTTTGTTGAATAAAAACATTTAGTGTTCAGGATTGCATGAAAAGATACAGAAATGTAGGACCAGAAAAGCATAACTCACTAAGAAGACAGAAGGGAAACTAAATAAAGAACATTCTCATAGTTATAGTCAGTTGTGTTTAGTTTTGTCTTTTTGTTTTAATTCTCTTTTGCAAGTAAGTACTTTAACTTTCTGGCTATTATAAATTGTATAAACAATATTACTCTCCATTTCATTTTAACTTAATGACATCTCATTAGACCAAAGTCATATCACTGACAACCTCTTGTCTGGAACATGATGAGAAAGCAAGAAAAAAATACTTAAAGAAAAAGAACCAAATAATTATAACAAAGCCATGTTCTAAAATGTATGCAACATATTCATAGGAGTCCCCGGCTTCCCAGTCCTCATTAGGAACTAGGTACTTTTATTTTATATACAGTTCTAAAAAGGTTTGTTCTTTCACTGCCCCTAGACCATTGGTCGGCAAACTCATTATTAGTCAACAGAGCCAAATATCAACAGTACAACGATTGAAATTTCTTTTGAGAGCCAAATTTTTTAAACTTAAACTATATAGGTAGGTACATTGTTATTAACTTTATTAGGGTACTCCTAAGCTGGCCTTTGCTAAAAACGTCCTCAATCTGAGGGGTCAACCTCAGCGAACGTACCCCCACTTCTTCTAACACCACTTCTTCAAAATAGACTCGCCCAGGCCGAAAACCGACTTCTGCACATGGGCCACGAAGTTTCAATCACACTGTACGTGCGTGCCTGGACGTGGTATTTTGTGGAAGAGCCACACTCAAGGGGCCAAAGAGCCGCATGTGGCTTGCGAGCCACGGTTTGCCGACCACTGCCCTAGAGACAATCAAAAGCAACAGATCATTGAGAGATCGCGAGGAAGAGACAAAGAAAGAAGGGAAACCAGGAGAGATTGGTCCTTAGAGAAGGATTTATTGCTAAGAGTGAAAAATAACAGCGTGACAGAGGAGGAGACAGAAAATGGACACAGAGGCCTGGGACCATCCGGGAGAGCTAACGATGACTCTCTGTCTCTATGAAAAGAAGTTTCCTTATGTTCAAACTACCTCGGCCAGGTGAAAATGCTGAAATCTTAACTCCTAAAGAACCTGTTTACTTCCAGTGCAAGATTTGCCTATGATGAAATTAACCAGGAATGATGCATTTGATAATGATGAAAAAGAAGAAATGGTCCTGGGGCCTGAAGAAGAAATGATACCTGGAGATTAAGAAAAATCTACATGTGTGCTAATGGGATAAACAAATGTTTGTTTCTTGATCAGTGGGAGTCCCCAAACCCCAGATCCATCACATGCCTGGAACTTAAACCCTCAAGAGGGGCCAAGGAGCTAAGCCCTGTCTTTTTTTGTAATTATTATTAATATATTTTTATTGATTTCAGAGAGAAAGGGATAGGGAGAGAGAGAAACATCAATGATGAGAGAGAATCATTGACCAGCTGCCTCCTGCATGCCCGCTACTGGGGATCGAGCCCACAACCTGGGCATGTGCCCTGACTAGGAATTGAACCATGACCTCCTAGTTCTTAGGTCAATGCTTAACCACTGAACCATGCCACCTAGACCAAGCCCTATCTTTATAACAAAAATCTCATTCTCCTCTCCCAGTTTCTTCAAACAGTAGAAAGAATATGAGGAAGGAAAACTGAGTCACATAGTCACATTATATTCCACCCTATGGTTTACATCATGAATTCTATGCTTGCTATCTTCTATGCTTTGCTAATAATACACTGTGCCAAGATTTTAGAATGAAAAATGACAACTTTTCTCTCTCAAGAATATGACTCCAAATAATGGATTGGGGCTTTCAGATTGCTGCAACTCTTGTGTTTTCTAAAAATCTATTCAGAAATTGAGTCTCTTTCTGTGTTCTGAGCTGTATCTGCTTTTTAAAGCAGTGAAAGGCACTGACTAAACAGGTGGACTTGAGGCAACAAGAAAATTGTGGCAAATAAAAAATCTCTATTGATGTCTTGTCTTTAAATAATACCTCTCTACCATTATATCATGGTGTGATGTGAACCTGATACTCCAAATGAATTTTAATTTGGAGTTGGGATGGATTTGGAAGGCAAAATCATTTCAGTGCAAGTTGTAATAAAGGCCAGTAAGATGTATCTGCATTTAAAGACATGTAGATCTTTCCTCACATGTGATATAATATGCTGACCATATATGTTAGGCTTGGATAAAAGCTTCAAACCACCTGTGTTCAATACCTCAAGACATAGAAAAAGAATATCATATCTACTCTGTATATATTTCAGGATGATTTTACTGACAAAGTAAGAGCTGGGGATAGCTGTCCAGAGGGACATTAGTAAAAGGGTATTGAGAATTAAAAAAAAAAAAAAAAAAGATGAATCAAAGCAATTGAAGAATGAAAATTCACTGGAAAAGCAGATTATTTACTCTGCTCAGGTTCAAAAGGGGCGTATTCTTACTTTCTTTTTTTTTTTTTTTTTTTTTTTTTTTTTAATCTTCAGCTGGAAAGACAGCTAATGATGCAGAACGAAATGAGAGAAAGACAAATGGCCATGCAAGTTGCTTGGTCTCGGGAATTCCTCAAATATTTTGGAACATTTTTTGGCATTGCAGCCATCTCTTTAACAGCTGGGTATGTTTGTTATTTACTTTAAAATTTTCTTAAATAATTTATTTATTTTGTCTTTGCCATTATCGTATTATTATTCAGTTGGCCAAGACAGGACTTTGGTCCAAATACTGTGCATGTAAACAAAGTAATCCATTATAGCTTAATCCTCAGAGGTAATTCTGTAGAAACAGGGTAGCAATAGTTAATTCTGCCTTTAGTTTATTAGATTGCCTCTGTTCTTTTCTCCATTTTACAAGTTAGAGAACTAACTTGGCACCGAGACAGGAGGCTTCTACAAGTTTATCTCCACAAGCCTTAAATGGTAGATATCAACACTTCACTATATATAAAATGAGTAATCTGAGCCTCAACATCAAATACAAATGAGGAATTCATAGACCCTGCCTGCCCTGGAGAACTGTAGAATCTGGTGAGGGGTTATGGGTAAGGAAATCCTAGTTTCAAAGAAGATGCAAATGAATTAAGTAACTTTTGAAATAAAGGACATTCTTTCAAAAAGCAGGTAATTTTTTTTTCATCAAGTATAAAGATATTTATTTACCGATCATTTCTTGATATTTATTTTTCTTTGTTCTTGAACCAGAGCAATAAAAAGGAAGAAGCCAGCCTTCCTCTTCCCTATCATTCCATTAGGCTTTGTCCTCACCTACCAGTATGACTTGGGCTATGGAACCCTTCTACAAAGAATGAAAGGTAAGCGTTTGATAAACCAGACTCTATTTCTGATTCATTATCTGGTTAAGGATCCCTTTCTTATGATTCCTTGACTTAGGAAGATTCTGACAAGACCCTCTCCCTGGTTTTTAAATATAATAATTATTAAAAATTAGATTATGTAAACTTACAATGAAATAAATTACAAAAAATAAGCATTCAATTATATTAAAAACAATGGTAAAAAGTACTCAACTGATCAGCTAATTACTATACTGTAATCTACACATTTAGATTACATATGTCTATACTCTTAAATTATGAATATCTATTGTATCTGTATGGTAGAAATGCAGATACAATATACAAATACAATAAAATACAGATACAACTCTGACTTTAGTGACATCGCATTGGTACCCTGAAGTTGATTGTGGTGGAAGTATTTACACCATGGAAATCTGCAAATGTTAAATCAAGACTTGACTTATTTTGTTGTTGTTATTGTTTATTGTTTAGACCAGGAGTTGGTATACTATGGCCTGTGGGCTGGCCACCTGTTTTTGAAAATAAAGTTTTATTGGAACATTGACATGCCATTCATTTCTGAGTTGGCTTTGGCTGCTTTTCATTACCATGACAGAGATGCCTCATTGGAACAGAAACAAAAGGCCTCACAAGCCTAAAATATTTACTGTCTGGACCTTTAAGAAAGTTTACCAACCCATGGTCTAGAAGACTTAAGATAGTGATGAAGGCTATGTTAATAATGCAGATTATGGCCCTGACCAGTTTGGCTCAGTGGATGGAGCGTCAGCCTGTGGACTCAAGGGTCCCAGGTTCGATTCCGGTCAGGGGCATGTACCTTGGTTGCAGGCACGTGCCCAGTGGGGAGTGTGCAGGAGGCAGCTGATCGATGTTTCTCTCTCGTCGATGTTTCTGGCTCCCTCTTCCTCTCCCTTCCTCCCTGTGGAAGATCAATAAAATATATTTTAAAAAATGCAGATTATGTTTAAAAGTGTGTTGTGTCCCTAGTCATTACATTGTGAATGGCTTAAAAAATGAGGAAATATTTTCCCAATATTTAAAAAACCGTTATCTGATTCAGCAAAGTTGTTCAAATCATTCTCAAATGAGTAAAGTTCCAACATATGTCATTGTTTCACTTGCCATACTCATCAATGTAAAAGAAAACACCAGCCATCATTCATAGTGGAATTATATTCATTCACCAACTGCTACTATAGGTTAGCTGTGACTACAAGGGTTCAGCAAAAATCAATGAAAACATTCTGTAAGAACCAATTTGCTACATGGAATTTATGATACAATGTATTGTACGTTTTATTATTTATAACTTGTGTGCTACATATATTTTCTATAAGTAAATCTATAATAAACATATATACTTAATAAACTTTACATTTTAAACGCCCCCCCCCCCCCCCCCCCAAGGAGAGAGCTGGTTGTTAAATATTCACCAGACTGTGCTGCTCTCCTCTCACAGAACCTTGGCTCTCACTGCCCTAGCAAATAGCACTGCAGTCAGAAGACATTCCTGTCCTAGGAAGATAGTTTCCCATTAGTCTAGGGCAGTGGTCAGCAAACTGCGGCTCGCGAGCCACATGCAGCTCTTTGGCCCCTTGAGTGTGGCTCTTCCACAAAATACCATGTGCGGGCGCGCACGTACAGTGCGATTGAAACTTCATGGCCCATGCGCAGAAGTCAGTATTTTGGGGAGAGCCACACTCAAGGGGCCAAAGAGCCGCATGTGGCTTGCGAGCCGCAGTTTGCCGACCACTGGTCTAGGATATTCCTGCTCCCAAATTCATACCACTTCTCTGGGAACTACACTCATACGAGTATCCTCTTGTACCCACTTTTCGAGCCTTTAACCCATAGAACATTGGAAACAGATTTTTCCCAAGCCTTCATTTTGCCATCCTGCTCTCTCCTGGGCTATGGGCCCATCCTTGAAGCTTTGTGGGTACTGCTTTGATATGGTAAAGGAGGAGGTACAGGCTTGGGAGTAGGGAGTAGAACATCTCATTCCAAAGCCTGGGGAAATGGAGGATTCTATGTTCTGAAAAAAAAAATTTGAAAATGGAAATATATTTCCTCATAGATACTATGTAAAAGTGTTCTTTGTAGTCAGGTGTTATTGATATCACAGTTCAGCTATATTGTAGGCTAAAGAGTTCTTTGCTAATGGCCTAGAAATTGATTTATAGCATTATTACTATGGGAAAATGTATTCTGAGTACTAAAACGCTGACCTACAAATTAATTTTTTTGGTACAATCCCATTTGAAGCTAGAAATTAACCAGCTCAGTTTCACATCACTCATCTGCTTAAGGATTCATTAGTCCAAGCCCAACTATGTCTCACTGTTTTATAATGGACATTAGAAGTCACAGAGCAAGTTTACTTTCTGGAAACAATTTGACTGTATATTTTTAAAGTAATTTTATTACAGGTCCATCAGAGTCTACAAAATTCAGAATTTTATACTTTCAGGGCATGTTGTGGAAATTTCTTGTAAAAAGAAATACATCTTTAGAATATACCAGGAAACTTACCATATTAGAAACTTTAGGTTATCACATTTAGCATTGTTAACTAATGATGACCCCAAGATATAAAATCCCTGTTTGACTGAATTTATCATCAGTCATTCTGTAAACACATATTGAGATTTGCTACATGCCAGCAAGACATTCTCACATGGAAACATCTAGTCTGTCATCAGTGGCCGGCCTAATTATATACAAGTTATAATGATCTTTACTTACTATTTGAGACTGAGAAAAGAAGTGTTGGGAGATGGTTGAAGTACTCTTATAATTTGAAAATTTTAGTCTGTTAGGTTTGGAGTATAAATTGTGTGCTAAAGGACAAGAACTTAAAGGAAACATTTGCCTTCATTTCCAAAGTTTATAAAATGTCAATGTGTATTATGACACAATTTTTAAATTAATTTTTCTAATTAGTCTTCAACATTAAAAGTTGGCAAATGTTAATGGGTCCAACAAATTACTAGCTGTTATCTGAAAGAGGAACTGTTTATAGAAATGTGTAGATGTGTGTGTATGTAGGTATACAGACTAAAGAATATTTAATATTATTTGGGGTATTTACAAGTAGTTTCAGGTCAAAGATTAGCTTTCCTAAAAATTTAGAATTTTCAGTAAATTTTATTTTCTCACATCACTTATGATATATTAAAAGGCAAAAGGAAGGGGACTACCTCAAACCCCTTCAAACACAACTAATCTTTAGCACCCTGACTTTTCTTCAAGGAAAAAAACATTACTTGGTATGCTTTCTCTTCTACATGTTAAAATGTTGTCTTCTGTCAAATAAAATGGCATCTGATTTATCTTTCTGTGAGTCTTCAGGATTCATCACTATATTTCCTTTGGGAGATCACTTCTCCTGAGGATAGCGGGTGAAATATTTAACTGTAAGATTTGAGGAACACAGCAAGTAGGTCTTCTCACAAACTGCTGATACTCCTTTGTCACCTTGTATATGTCTGTACTTTATTTAAGGTGAAGCTGAGAACATATTGGAAAAAGAAAAAAATAAGTTACAGCTGCCAAAAGGAATGATTACTTTTGAAAGCCTTGAAAAAGCCAGAAGGGAACAAAGTAAATTCTTCATAGACAAATGATATCATGTTTACCCACTGAAACTCAAAACACAAAATTGTTGACTTGAATAATGGTTTTCATAATTGTTTAAGTGTTCAAGATTTTGATATATTGGATTTTATTTTAAAATATTAAAATGTAAGATCAGGTTTGTTAAACTATTTTGAAATAAAATTTATAACATTCAATAAAAGAAAGGAGGTACTCTAAGTCACTTTTAGATTTCCCATATATGTATATTATAAATATGTAAATATAAAGTTAATAAACTATATTGTTTTGAACTCCTGAAAGCAAATGTCCTACAGCTCTCATTTTTCTGTCTCACACAACCTTCCCCATCACATTCATCTTTAATTTGGATTTGTCAGTTGTGTCCTGTCTCCACCTGACAGAAACAACTCATATTAATGACTAATATGTATATTGTGCTTCCTATGGCCAGTCACTCTTCTGAGTGGTTTGCATAGATCTAGGACAGGAAGGACTGCTGCTCGGGAGAGATTACATTTGAGCTGAGAATTGAATGATGAATGAGCCAGTTGTGTAAAAAGCAGGTATGGGGGCAGGGAAGGGATTTCTAGGCAAAGGGAAGAGCCAGAGGAAAGGCTCTCCTCTGGCTCTGAGACTTGTCAAAGAATGGAAAGAAGGCTAGAAAGAATAGTAGGAGATGAAATCTGAAGGAGAGAAACAAGAACAAATACATGGCTAATGCGGCTGATGATACATTAACATATGGCTTTGATACAATTACAGTTGAAGAGAACCTTGGGGTCAGGTCTTGAAGGATGCATTGAGTTCTCCATGAAGACAAGGGGGTGAAGAGGAAGTATATCCTTGGCAGAAAAAGAAGAATGACTAAAGGCAGTGCCGTGCATGTCAAGTTCAGGGATTTGCTGCTGGTTATTGGGTTTGCCTGGGGCAAGAGGTTCCTTACTTGGGATATTTGTTAAGAAATAAGCCTGGAGGCACAGCTCAGCTCCTTGGGTGTAACACCAAGGAGGTTGTGCTCTATCCTACTGGTACTAAAATTACAACTCAATCAAGTTTATATGGCATTCCACCTAATTCAGTTTGTGTTTGGGGATAATTCTGAAGGGTCCTTATGGTATAGTACTTAATTGCACTTTGTAAAAGATTTTAGCAGTGCCCCAGATCCACTCAAAACAGTTTTGGCAACAAATACTGAAACTATATTGTCAAGATGTTAAAGAAGGAAGGAAGACCCTTAGAAATTATCTAGTCTAAAAACCATTTTACAGTTGAGAAAATGGAGGTTCATAGTGTTTTAGCTAAAGTTCCACATCTGGTAATGGTAGTTGGTACTAAAACCCTGGTGTCTGATATCCCTAGAAGAATTCTTTCCAATGCAACATGCTGCCTTACTTCAAAGGAAAGTGACAAAGTAAAAATCCAAAATAATTTTTAAAAATTATCACATATGCTCAATTTCAGAGCCTTAGAAAATGTCCCAAAGATGGGGTTAGAACAGGATAGGGAAGTAGCAGAGTCAGACTGCAAAAATAATCTACAACCAATGTAACTGGAATATGAGTAATCTGAAGTTGATACTATATTTTATAGGCTTCAACAATTTTAATATCTGCATGTTCAAATATGATATTTTAGAGACACTAGCCAGAACCTAGAAAGTTTTTTTGCTCCACTCTTATGGGAAAAGAACAATCCCTTACTGGGAAAATATTATTAAATGAGCCTTATTACTCACGCGTTGCGGTGTCTCTTGGCCTTGGATATGTCTGTTCTGTGAGAGGGTTGGAAATGCTCTCCTAGGTTTGGCCTTGTGGATGCCTACAGGAGATTTCAGAAATACCTTGCAAACTGCAAACTGTCCAATTTGAAGAAAGTAGTTTCTAATATTCAGGGCTGACTATTTAGCATCTCTACTGATTTTTCTACTGGTAACTTTGGGTCTTGGAGTTTATGAAGATTGGGCTACAGGTGTACCAGGAAGCCCAGGCTGGCTGGAAGCAGAGGAGCGTAGGGGGTGACAAAAAATAAGAGAGCCAAGGAAGAGTAGTCTTCATGAAGGGATGGAGCTGACTCAAATGCCTCTCACAGTAAATGGCTGCCAGGGTTCCATTACTGGCTTGCTTGGGGGAGCTGAGCTCCCTAGGGACCAAAGTCACCTATGGGATCCCCTCACGGGCCTGTTTATTTTGCTGTAATAACTTGTTCCTTTGGTTACTTGGATGGCAATAAGAAGTGTGTCTGGAACAACACAAACTTATCATGACTGCTGATAAAAGCAACTGGAACCCTATAGCCCACTGATACTCAGTGGTCACCGAGTCTGAGGTTTAGATAGTATTTCTGGTTCATTATTTCTCAGTCCACAGGTGTCATGGAGTTAAAAGATAGATTGCTAACCTCAGTTTATTTATTCTTTTTCTTGGAGGACTTCACCTGTGGCCAGCAGTACTGTGTAGATGTTTTCTGCTCTGCCTGGACATGAAGGACAGGCAACCCCTGAGCCTGAGTTGGTTTGGGCATTTCATTTGGTGTTAGAAGAACAGGGTTCAGAATATGTCTCATGAAGTCACAACCTAGAGAGGACTGACTGGCAATCTGGGATTCTAGTTTGGTGGGGATTTCAAAAAACTGTAAGGAAACAACTGTTGAAGGTATGTGAAAGTCAATGGATACTGATAAATTGAAATGAAATAAGGAAGGTCTGTAAAAAGTTATCAGGGTGTCAGGATTGGGCTTTGAGGAACACCTATAACTATTTTTCCCAACATTCCCACACCATTAATTTTCTGCTGATAAACATCTGACACAAGTAGAAGGTAGTATCAACCAAGGTGATCAAGAGAGAGAGAGAGAGAGAGAGAGAGAGAGAGAGAGAGAGAGAGAGAGAGAGAGAGATTACATTCCATAGAAATTCAATATAGATTCTGGATACTCGACAATTTCATATCTTGAAATGCTCCAGAGAAGACTTGGCATCCAGAATGCTTTTCATCTTCAAGGAACTAAGAAATTTGAAAGGAGTCCAACTAATGCTATGTATTTCAAACTAGCAATAACAAAAACACCTATGGTTTGAATAGTTTGTGCCTCTAGATCAGGGGTGGGGAACATCCAGCCTGCAAGCCATATAAGGTCCCTTAAATCATTTGGTCTGGCCCTACCAAGGCATTAGGGGTGAGTTAATTAAATGTTTGACTAAATATAACAGCCTAATTTTTAAGCTGATAATTTTGTATGGCCTGAGAATGATGGTATAAATATCTAAATGGCCCTTGGCAGAAAAAAGGTTCCCCACACCTGCTCTAGATAGTTACTTCTTTGAATTCAATAGCTATGAGAAACACAGGATGCTAGACTTACCTTCCATGCAGTTTTCTCATATGGACTGAAAGCAAAGGATAAGCCTACCACCTCTGAAATAGCCTGAAAGTCTTACTAGGCAGGTGAAGGGGATTTTGTTCATCTACTGACTTTCATAATTGCTTTCAGCAATTCAAGCAGACATCAATTTCCTACTAGAATAGGTGTGTTACAGGAAAAGTTCAAATAGGCTCATAGTTAGGATATTCAGTTCTTCCTCCCACTTCTTTTTCCCCAGAAATAGTCACGTTTATCTCTTTTAGATAATCCTATCTCAATATAGGATTTCCCTGAAGCAGATTTGGCACCAATCACTTGAGCAAGTCACTGATTTTGGAGGTAATCCCCAAAACATTGATGAGGAATTAAGGAAGTAGATAGTACAGAGAAGGAAACTAGTAAATGAAGTCTAACCTAGAAAGTGACCTTTGCAGACCACTGTAGCTTAATCCTGATGAAGAACTCTGGGAAATGGTTTAAAACCTCCCCTTACCACCACCTGAGTTTTCCAATCCAAGGAGTGAAATTTTCCCAGCTTAGAATGTACAGGCAAAATGGGCTCTGGAAACCAGAATAAAACTCAAGCAAGAAACGCAGGTAGGTGTTAGACACTGGAAGTCAGATCAGCTCAAACTGAAATGGTAAGGGCTAATAAGTAGTTGAAAGCAACTCATATTTTAGTTACTGATAGGGTTATTTTAACTTTACATTTCTAAGTAACATTCCAGTGTAGCTACTTCTTAATGTTTCAAAAAAATATTATTTCTTGACATACCATAAAGATAATAAAGAATTAGCTATCTTAACTCCCCCAATCCCAACAACCACCACCACATGCCATCTATTTCCCTATCCTTCCAATATTGTTATGTAATCATTTTGGTTGGATCAATATTCATTGTTTACATTATAATGATGCAAACACTGTTCACAACTGTGTCATAGAGTAAAGTATAATTACTTCCCTTTCTTGCTCACTTCCTGATTTCTCTGGAAGTAGTAGTATTTTTGTTGTTTTATGTGTTTAATGTTCTTTATAACTTCATTAACTTCAAATTCTTTGTTGGTTTTTAAATCTCCTCCAAAGACATCCATTCACATCAGGTATTTTGTCAATACCTTCTTGAAAAAAAATTAGAGGCTTCTGACCTGTTCTCACCTGTACTGTTTTTTGGGGGTTTTTTTACAGCTCTCTCCTCCTGAGTTTTCCCTTCAACACCGTGGTGGAGGGGGAGGGTCCTTTTTTCTTATACCTGGGTTGGATCTTTTGTTTCCTATATTCTATGCTGTGCCTCCTCATTTGCTGGAACTCATCCCTCCTTAGCTTTGTGACAAAGAGTGAATGGAGGAAAAAAATGTTGAGACCTTATGTATCTAAAAATAACTTTCTCTTCTTCACTTGATTGATAAATTGGCTGGGGACAGAATTCCTGGTTGTTAATGACTTTCCATCAGGATTTCTAAGGCATTTCTCAGCCGGCTTGGGTGTCAACACTCTGTGCTGCGAAGCCCTCCTACACCAATCCTCCTCCTCACCCTGCTTGAGCTTCAACCACTCATGCTGGCCACCCATCACATAGTTAGATATATTCCTCATCCAATTCAAATCCTAACAACACTAGCCTGCACCACCACGCAAAAGCCTTTCTTAACCAGTTCAGGCTCACACACCTCTCACTGGGTCACCTTCCCTTCCTCCCTGCTCCCAGTGTGGATGCCTTCCTCACTCTTCTCAGATTACAACACCCCCATCGGAACCACTAGAGCCTTCCCCTACACCTGCCAGCATGGATACATCCTTTGTTCTGCCCAAATGAATGGATTTAGCAAGAAATTATTCAGT